AAGCTAGATCCTTATATATCACCCTGTACCAGAAGCAACTCCAAATGGATCAAAGACCTTGGAGTCAAAGCAGATACTCTGAAAACATTATAGGATGGAATAGGAGAAACCCTAGGTCTCCTTGGCGCAGGCCGAAATTTTCTTAATAGAGACCCAGAAACACAACAAATCAAAGAAAGGTTGGACGAATGAGATTGCATGAAGTTGCAGAGCTTCTACATGGCAAAGGACATAGCTAGCAAGATCAATAGAAAGCCCATGGATTAGGAGAAGATCTTCACTAGCCATACAATGGACAAGGGTCTCATATCTAAAATACACCTGGAACTCAAAAAATTAAAATCCCCAATAACAAATCCTCAAAGAAACAACTGCCCAATAAATAAGTGGGCTAAAGACTTAAAGAGAAAAGAAGGATGGCCAATAGACTCATGAAGAAATGCTCAACCTCCCTAGCCATAAAAGAAATGCAAATCAAAACAACATTGAGATACCACCTCACCCCAGTTAGAATGGCTAAAAATCAAGAACTCTAATAACAACAGATGCTGGAGGGGATGTGGACAGAAGGGAACCTTACTGCATTGTTGGTGGGAGTGTAAACTAGTTTAACCACTTTGGAAAGCAGTATGGAGGTTCCTCAAAAGACTCCACATAGAGCTCCCCTATGACCCAGCAATCCCACTTTTGGGCATTTACCCAAATGATCACAACAGGACCATACTAAAGGTACCAGCACAACTATGTTTATTGCAGCATTATTTACCATAGCTAAGATATGGAACCAACCCAGATGCCCCTCAGTAGATGAATGGATCAAGAAAATGTGGTATATATACACAATGGAATTCTATGCCTCCATCAGAAAGAATGACATTGCCATATTTGTTAAGAAATGGAAAGACTTGGAAAAGATTCTATTAAGTGAAGTAAGCCAGGCCCAAAGAAACATAGGTCCCATGGTTTCCCTTATTTGAATTAACTAGTATATGTCTGAGACAAGCAGAAATGGTCAGATAAGTTGATGTTAGGCAAAATGAACCCCAAGATAAGGACTCAAATGCTTTTTCTTTCTTGCTATTATTTCTAACATATTTAAAAGATGATTTCTTTGTTGCTTTGTATGTCCCTCCCCTACGGTATAGCCCCTGCTTTCACAGTATTTGATGCTGGTATAATTTGTGGAGGGGAAGGGCAAAAACAAACCGTTTAAATAGGGATACAGGTGGATCCATTGCAACAATGAGATGTACAAGTCATTATGTCGAAAAAAGAACTTTACAACTTTGGCGAGCGTGTGTGTGTGTGTGGGGGGGGGGGGGGGGGGAGATGGGAAAGGATGGTAAAGGGAAACAAAGGAGGAGGCAACAATGCTTGATAAGAAATGCACTTATTACCTTGCCCATGTAATTGTAACCCCTCTGTATGGTATTTTCACAATAAAAAAAATCCTTAAAAAAAAAAAAGAATCTCAGGGTCTTAAAACGCTAAAATAAAGATTCAGGTTGACCCATTGTAACAATGAGATGTACAAGACACTATGTTGAAAATGAACTTCACAACTTTGGGCAGGAGGGGGAGTTGGGGAGGTGGAGAAGGGAAGGTAGGGGAAAAGCAAAGAGGGGGTAATAATGCTCAATAGGAAATGTATTCATGTAACTGTAACCCCTCTGTACAGTATCTTTACAATAAAAAACATATTAAAAGGGATAAAAAAAACTATATTGACAAAAATAATGAGTAACTTCCTGAATGACTAGCATTATAAAAAGCACTTCACTGATTTGTAAGCTTAATCATTTACATGAAGTCTGGCACTGGTGATTCCTTGGAATTCTCTCTTGGACTCCAGAAGACTACTGTCATGGTTTTCTGTTCCTCTAGCCATGTAAAAAATGTTGGCCTACTTTTCCATGCTCATGTTTCTGCGGTGGTTTACTTCTCCTTAAAGTAGCCTGAAGGTACTGAAGGAGTTTGAAGTCCTGCCCTATGTTGACCATTCCCTGAACATTTTGCTAAGCTCCCCTGTGGGAGCTTTAGCTTTACCACAGAAACCACAAACATTACATACTGAAAACCAAATCAGTTATCTGTTCCCTAAACCAGTTCTTAACGTTTATGTTGCCACTAATTGATGACATCACAATCCAAGCCTCTACCTTTGCTTTCCTAGACTCTTGACTCAATTTTTCCAATGTATCTACCACAATAAAGTGTCAACTCAATGCATTCCTTACTTAAACCCTAACAATTACTTTAAAAAAAATTCATGGGAGAAAGGCCAGTTCCTTTCACTTGCTTCTTCCACCAATACTGCAGTGACATGGTTGAATGCAGATACCATATTCCCCATATCCATATACCTAGAATATGTAATGTGTCCACCTACTGCTTTCTTCCTCAACATAGCAAGCTCTTCTCTGCCATCCAAAACAGTTCCTAAGGAAGGCATCTCCTGATCTCCATGCAAAGAACTCCTCATTCCCTCCTTTGTCTTTTATCCACAATTTTCTCATCTGATGTCCAACAGTACTGTTTATATACATATTCCTTCTTCCCTCATATTTCCTGAGCTTAAGGGTCATTCTTCCTGAGTATTCACATTGTGGGACAATGTGAAGTTCTTTGTTCCAGAGGCCTAGGGGGAAAGCCAGGAGTCTTCCTGTCGGGCAGCTCAATGTGAGGCAAGAGAAGGCTGGCACAGCTTCTTTCCTTCTTTATTCCCATCAAGGGACAGATCAGAGCCTTCCTTGGAAACCACAACTGGGTGTTTACTGCACAACAAGGGCCCTGCCCATGAGGAGTAGTTATACAAATGCTAACTCAGTTGGGATCAGTGGTGGTGGTAGTTACAGTCCTTACTACTTAAGAGGCTGAGGGGAGAGGACCACTGGCTCAAGGCCAGCCTGGGCAACACAGCAAGACCTCTTTACCACACAACAATGACTACAAAATAAACCTTAAAAACATTAACCCTGTAACTACTGGTGATCTACTTCATGATAGCTTTATTCTGGGCTCATCTTAACCCTGGAGGCAAGGAATAATTTCTAGTTATAATTAACTTGTACAGTAAGGCTTCACACATGGCAAATAAACTTCTAAAAATCATCTTCTTGGACACAGTTGAGTCAGGATTCAAACTGAAATTCTGTTTTCTCTTAAGACTTTTTCCAAGACCCTGTAGTCCTGCCAAGTTTCTAAAGAACCCAAAGATGTGTAATATAACAGCATATACAACAATGGCAGAAGGACAAATGTAAAGATTATACTTTTTATCAGGTATTTGCTGCAGTGTAATCTATCTTTCAAACTGTACATTAACTTAGGCAATGCCTTAGAAATGTGAATCTCAGGGTAATGCCAAGACCACAGAGGAGCTGGCTGATACAAAATGATCAGACAGCTTCTGTTTAAGCAGGTGAAATGGGAAGGATTCTGCCCCAGCCAAGATAGGTCCATATTAAGAAAGCTAGAGTTTTCTTTCTCTATGGATTTGTGAGCCAGATTTCTGAGAAAGAATCATAGTTCTCCTCTTCACCTCTGGGACTAAACTGTAAACTGCCAACTGTAAACTGTTTCTGTACATGAGTGAGGTGAATCAATCTATCTATGTATCTATGTATCTATCTCAAACTTGTCAGCAAAAATTCACCAATAAGAAATTTCTTAGGCACAAATGGTCCTCTGAAAGGACTTTCTTATTCACTACTCTGTGGCACCTCAGTTTTCTGCAAAATGAAATCCACAGAAGCACAAGTGCAGCCCTCCAATAAGGTATGAATTTGGTGCTGTCTTTTTTCATAGTGGCCCCTGGGTCTGGTGTTATGCTTCAATTAGTCACTTCAGGAAGACCATCCAGCTGTATAGTGGTCATTAAGTTGACAGGAGTTACAAGAGCACCTGATGGATACGGCATTGCCAAGCAGCAATTGAAGCTTCAGGGCCATGTGTTCTTATCTCACATAACTCAATCCTTTTTAGCTGGGGCCTCTGGGAGCCCCTATGGAGATAAGAAACGCTCAGTGCCTTCTAGGAAAAGGAAGCCGAGGCTGTCTGGCGGGAGGCAACAAGCATGGTTCCTGCTTCTCTTTCCCCATAGCAAATTCTATTCAAGAATTCAACAGAAGAAGTGCTGAGGCAACAGGACAGCAACAGAAAAGGGAGCGTGCATCTGGGGAGCACACGGCACATGTCTATTGTGAGAGGATGGATATGGGAGGGGGAAGGCGGGGGAAGGGAAATGACAGCTTTCCCTCAAAGAGTCAGGCTGCCTGCGAAGGACTGAGTGCAAATAAATAATTTTATTATTTGCCAGCAGTGAAGAAATGAAGCGGGTGGCTGCTTGAATACATAAATGTAAATTGCTCAAAGAGCACAGTTCATACATGGTCTTGCTTGGGAGACATTAAGCTACTAGAAAAGATAGGATAAGAGAGAGAAGCATTCAGGCATCAAAGAAAGAAGGAAGGCTCGCCCTAGCATGTCACCCTCGGTCAACAAGAAATCACTATAGATGCAGGAGCCTGAGAAAGTAATGTCATGGTTGGGCTTTCATAAAGGATTGGGATCCTGATGACATATGAAAAGAAGAAAAGAGAAGCACTTGGCATTGCCTGGGGATCTCCAGCGGCATGGTGGCTCAGCTCTTCGAGGCCTGCCGGTTAAACACAGTGGGGTGGTCAGTCTAAAGTGGCTAATACCAACTATGAGAACTCAGTCATTACAATTTTTTTGTAGGCCTAGAATTCACTTCATCTAAGCTGGATGGGCTTCTCTGCTATGTATTAAGCTATTCTTATATGTTCTGTGCTTGCTGGAACAAAGGAACAATCAGAAAATCTTCTAATGGTAGCTTTGTATCCCATTTTGAGATAAAAGCCTTAGGTGGGCTCTGGGGCCTTTCTAAACCGCAGGGAGAAGAAGGTGTATGGCCTTCAGAGATGACTTCTGAGCTCCAGGAAGAACTTTCAGGGTAACATACAACATGTAAGACTTACCTGCCAGCAAGAAAGTGATAAGGCAAGTTTCCTTTGGCAAATAAAGTTTAAGACGAGAACCACTGAAGACATATTCCACCACAGCTTCCGAACGACCTGCTCGCTGAAGGAAGGGCAGGAACTGCTTGGCTTTCTGGGTATCCTAAAGGAGAAAAAGAGAAAAAAAAGAAAAGAATCAATGGAAAGCATTGGAGCCCCATTAAATATTTTATTCTTGCTAGGACAAAAACATGGGCAGACAGGACTAGGAACATGAGTCAAATGGTAGAGTACATGCTTAGAAAAACATAAAACTGAATTTTTAAAACTCTAGTTTTCAACCAAAAATCTGGCAGACACAGGAAACTAAGCAAATAGTTCTATAAAACTGGTTATTCTGAAAATGTGACAAGTCACGTGTTATACATCTAACCTTAACAGAAGAACTAGTTGAACAAGAGTTTCTAGAACATTTTCATTGCATTCAAGGAATATAGGTTGCTTAGAAATTGAGTTCACTCCTGCTTAGGCAAGTAGAGTTTATCTTCTCTCAACCTTAAAAGGGAGGTCAAAAGATCAATACTATTCTTCTATGGAGGTTAATTTAACCTTCCATAGAAAGAAAGATACATAGTAGTTAGAGAGGGGGTGGAGGAGGAGAGGGGGGAAGGAAAGGGGGAGGGAGGCAGGAAGGAGGAAAATAGGGAGCAAGGGGCAATCTATGTGTATGACACTGTGTCACATAGCCCCCAAAATTTTTCTCAGGAAACCATAAGAAGTCCATCTTCAATTACAAACAGGTCATGTACGATCCTGAACTCTTTCTCTTAACCCTGACCTGAGCCCAGCCTTCTTTGGACACCAGCACAGCAGTTCCTGGATCAAGTGCATTTTGAGGAAGAGGTAGAGCCTGAGGCATATTGCCCTGGGAAATCTATAACAGCAGGCCTCCTCCCTGTAGACAAACACCTCAGTCGTGGCAGGACGAATAATTATAGAAACAATAAAAGCATAAAAGTGCCGAGTAATTTTGTAAACTGTTTTCATGCATCAATGAAGTTTATGCATTCTACTCTCAGGAGTATCAAGTGTGGACCTTTTGAGCCTCAAAGCTCTGCAGCACATAGGAGCTAAGGGCTGTCAAATTATTTCAGCCTCTCAAGCTAATTAAGGAGATGATAGAGTAAGCAAGCGTCAAAGTATCATATCACATATGCTGGGGGAATAGTCTCTAGATGCAAGAACTTGTGAGGTTTTCAGCCCAGCCAGCAGAACTGTAAACCCTCCGAGGATAGTAAGTTCCACACAGTTTCCTGACTTCTGTGACACAGGAAGTCTGCACTCAGTCAAGCTCTTCCTTTCTGACTCCACTAGCAACAAAGCTATTATGTTTAAATTAATGTATGTTAGATAATAAAAATTTAACAAGCCATCAAGTAGTTCAGTTTTCTCAGAAGCCAAAGGGGTTTCTCTCATTCTGAAGCAGTGAGGTAGGTTGGGATGAAAACAATATTTATAGTAATGCAATTCATCCCTCCCTTCAAAAGAGGAGACAATCATCCAGCCTCAGCATTTCTAATAGCACATTGGTAAACTGTAAGCTCACAATGAGCTTTAGTGGGTTGGGAACTCCTCCATTGAAAACATGACACATATTCTACTGTACATACACATTAAAGCAAGAAAATGCCTTTCTGGCAGTTGGCTAAAGTCCAGAATAGTCAAGCAAGACAAATGCTCCATGAGAACAAAAGCACTACCTGATTAAAATCCTTTTGCCATACTAGTCTATATCTGGGACAATATTCATGAGCTGAGCCAATAAATCAACAACAATTATCAAATTGACTATTGCGAATCATGAAGTAACCTAATGTCTTAAGAGAGATGGACTTTTCTTTAAAATTGGTATGATCTACATTTTTAACACATAGATTTTTCCTTGTTGCTGTTTTTTGGATATAGTTATTTGAAAAAGATGTGTATAAATAAAACACTAAATATGCATACCTGCACACCTGTAGGTATGCCTTTAATGTTAATACTAACAAAGAAGTTGCAGTACTTCCTCCTTCCTTTTGTGTTACGGTCCCTAAGTTGGTAAGCAAAGCATTACTATGCCATCAGGGGAGATACTTAGACTGAGAATAATCATGGGGAAATCAGAGGATCTTACTGCTATCTGTGCAACAAAAATCCAGAGATATTCTTGATTCTTCACCAAGTCTCAACTTACAACAATGGCTCTATTCCAGAAACGACATGGGAAGATGCCATAGTCCACACACAAAAATAAGGAGTGAAAGTAAATTTTGAAAACTGAAGGGGAAACAAAGGAGGAGGCTACAATGCTTTATAAGAAATGTACTCATTATCTTGCCCATGTAATTGTAACCCCTCTGTACAGTATTTTCACAATAAAAAAAAAAGAAAACTGAAGGCATGAAAGCAAAATTTAAAAGCCTATTAGTACCAGCTATGTTCAGATGCAAAATTACAGGACAAGAAAAGAGCTCCTCAAAGGTTCAGATGACGAGATGTCTGTGGAACCTCCGTTAAGAGGAAAGATGGCTATTTCATCTAAGTCGACAGAATTTTAAGAATGATCGTATGAAGACAATTAAACTGAAGAAAAAACAAAAGCTAAAAGATGCTGGTTCTTTGTTCAACTCAGTCATAGTCACAGAATGGTTTGATCATAAGCATTTCTCTGCTAAGCACTCACCTTTTCAATATAAAACATCCTGAAACCTCTTATACTTGTTTCAAGTGCACAGAAAAGATTGTTAGAAATATTAGCAATTTTTATCAGGTGATAGAATAATAAACCATTCCTTTCTATTTTAGTCATGCAAATTATTTTAGGATTGCTGATTGTATTGCTATCAAAGTAGATGAATGTGCTTACATCTGCCTTTCAAAGGGCAGGTCCAAGCATAGTACTGGGCTTTAGTTTTGTACTCTAGTTTCATACTTACTTTTTAGGGTTAATAAGAGAAAGGAAGGTAAGTAAAACGAAGATAAGAGACAATCTCACTGTGAGAAACAAAGCATAACAGAGACAACTTCAGCCCCCACTGTAACGTTGCAGGTGCCTGAGGGACCTTAACGATGAAATAAAAGTGATGTTTAAGTTTAAAAGATGTCATTAACACGACATCCAACAATCCAGAATCATAACTCACTCAGATTTAGTAAATCTAATGTCTTTAGAAATTAAAAAAACCCACAAAATTTGAATAAAGTAAAAGGAAAAATGTAAATTCAAAATATATTTAGGAAAAAAATAAATCTTTGAAAAGAGGAGCAATGAGAGATAAGAACAATGGAGGTTAATGGGAGGTAACTATGATAGAAGTACATTATATACATGTACAAAGATGTCGCATAATTAATATATAGTAATACAAAAGAAAAAAATCAACTAGAATGAAGAAAAAAGGGCATAGTCCATATGGCATAATCTCAAAAAGTATTATAGGTCTCATATTTATGAGACAACAATATTGGGGGCTTGTTAAACCAAATCCTCATTTCAAGGTAATCTCAAATATTTTTGCTTAGAAAGCTATATGCAGGTTCTTGCCCTTAGGTGTTTTATGTGGGGCTTATTCATGTAAGGTCTGTGAATTTAGTGTCACAGTTTCTTACACTGACTCAAGGCTTTGAGAATCAAAGTAGATAAATTAACTATGGTTCTTGGTTATCTATACCAATATTCCTCTCCATTGGTGTAAGTAATCAGGAAGCAACTGTATTTCTATGCGGAGAAGTCTTTTTTGTTGCACTGCTAGTTTTCACATTACCTGTGCTCCACAACAAACTGTACATAAGTATTTCCCTGTACTCTTAGAAAAGCTAATTTAAGGTTGCATTAGCCACATTTAACCTGCTATTGTGGATGGCATCTCTTTAAGGAATGTTTCTGCCTCCTCAATGCACCTTGAAATTGAGAAAGTAATGATGCAATAAATGTGCCTGGGGTGACTTCATTTCAAACCAAGTTAATAGCTATACCTCAAATTTGGAAGAACAGGCTTTAGAATGATGTTCAAGAAATGCTGGATGATCCTTTGAGAGGAAAAGGTTATAAACACATCCTATTGAGCTAGGGCCCTGGCTCAAGTGGTAGAGTACCTATCTAGCAAGTTCTAGGCCCTAAATTCAAATCTTATTACTACCCTTTCCTCAGTTACCATTCTTCTTATATATTTCCATCCTGCTATCCACTTCTGGCTTGTCAGGCAAAATCTCTTCCAAATGTGGGTAGGTACCACACATCTGACTATGAGGAAAAGAAAATTCCCTCATTAGTTAAGACAAGACTCTAGCTTTTACTGCAAATAAATTTCCTGTGTACAGAAATATATACTACAAGTAATTTTACAATGAGTGACTAGGTTGGAGAGAGTAGGAACATTGGGTGTGAGCAGTAAAGTAGGAGATGCATAAACTCTGTACAGCAGGTTATCTGATAGGACACTAGCCAGGTTACCTGTAGCACAGACCTATACAGATATCAAAGTTCTGTGGAATTCTAGAACAAGTTATTCATATCCCATAGATACTAGCAAAATGAATTCTATCATTTTTCCACTTAAAAGCTCTGTAGGGTAGACAGGAAACTAGAAAGCATTGGTAAAAAGCAAACGTTGCAGCACTTAATAGAGCATAGGAAAACAGAGGAGATTAAACATATTAGTTAACAATTAGCCACTCAAAAGGATCATGTGCAAGTCTCAAATGGGAACTGTTAATAACAAATCTCACTAATTAGTTATCATCATCACAGTTACTCTTACAAACATCACAGGAATGCTTGTGATGTTAGTGGGGATTGCAGGGTGGGGGCATAATCTACTAGCACTGGAGCAACTCAATGTTGAAAAAAAAATCAATTCACTCTGAACAGCCTTCTTTGGAACCACCAGCCCCAATGCTTCTCTCCTAAGAAGAATCAGCGACAAACTAAGGACCAAGGATTCCACAACACAATTATATTTGGGTACAACCAAGCTCAAAGTTGAAGCAGTGAAATCCTTGTGAACAAGAGGACAGATATAGATAAGAGTTTGCAGAGATGCAAACTTATCACTATGGATATTGAAGCAAATGGGTTCTTTCATTTTAAGATGTATTGTGATCATTTACTGCCATAGTTAT